TAGAAAACAGCAAGGTGGTTCTGAACTGCAGCAAGAAAACATGAGCTGATTTCACCTAAACAAACATCAATAACTTCCCTCATACTTGAGATAATCACTTTGGTGTTATTTTGTCTGGTTTGAAATGTTCTTTTGGAATCCGCTGTCAGATTTAATATTGGTGTAGGATTAAAAATTTATCCACATCCCTAGTTTATGCTGACTCATGTCACTGTCCTCAGTAAATACAGGACACTTACCAAACTTTGCATCCGCAGTCAGCTTCGCAACTTTGTCATACTAAAACAGAATGAAAGCAACAGGTCTGAGTGTGGCCAAAGTTCAGCTCAAATTTCATGATTATTTCATGACTACATGAAATTATTTTCATGAGCTTACATCAATACCGTCTCCCAGTAAATCCTTCAACACTTGAGCACAGAGGAGTTTCATCTTGACGCTTGACTGCAAAAGAGGAAGACAATAAACTCATTTAGAGAGAGAAAATAAAACCTCAGCACAACAAACTAACATTGATTATGGGGTAAAGCTACTTACAATTTTTGCTAACGTGCTGATTTCAGCAAGAACCCAGTCAGGGCAGTCCAAATCTCCACAGAAACGGAACCGCTACAGACAGAAAGAATCACTCAGGGTTAAAGAGAAAAAAGCTGAATATTTCATTCAAATGCCAGCTTAGCCTGCTAGCTGCGTAAAGGGTGCTCCTAAATGTTTGCGCATTATTAAAGATATCAACTGCAGTTATGCGCTAGTTTAACTTTGTACCAATAAACTAGGTTTGTCTAAGAAAAAGAAAATTAAACAAGAAACCATAATGAATTTACCATTGTTTTCGTGCTGTAAACACAGACAAGTTAAAGGAAAACAGGAAGACTTCTTCTTCTTCTTCTTCTTCTTCTTCTTCTTTTGATATTGTTGGCGGTTGGCGGACTAATTCTGGTGCACTACCGCCACTAGTGGACAAGAAGTGGAACTGGAGAAGACAGGCAAGATGGGAAAACAAACAAACAAACAAATATAATTCCACTAAATAAACCTGTTGTCTTCAGAAATGAAATAACCTTGCTGTATATAGATAGATGTATCCTTAAAAAGCCTAGATAATGTGAATATCTGATGTTTTTCCTTCTTAGTGACTGAAAATGTCCCTCAATCTTTTCTGATTGGACCGGCGATTTAAGATGTAAGGTGGACAATGAAGAAATTATTCAAAGTTAATAAGTGAATTTATTTCCTGTAGTGGTGAATAATTATATATGTAATTGGGCTGAATGCTTGCAGCTACAGGCCTATTCAAAAACAATAGTTTTGCACTAATGTAGGACCAAAACACAGA